TCAGCCCAGCCTCCCCCAGCCTCCCTCAGCCCAGCCTCCCCCAGCTCAGCCTCCCCAGCCTCCCTCAGCCCAGCCTCCCCCAGCCCAGCCTCCCCCAGCCTCAGCCTCCCCCAGCCTCAGCCCAGCCTCCCCCAGCCTCCCTCAGCCCAGCCTCCCCCAGCCTCCCTCAGCCCAGCCTCCCCCAGCCTCCCTCAGCCCAGCCTCCCCCAGCCTCCCCAGCCTCAGCTCAGCCTCCCCCAGCCTCCCCCAGCCTCAGCCCAGCCCAGCCTCCCCCAGCCTCAGCCCAGCCTCCCCCAGCCTCAGCCCAGCCTCCCCCAGCCTCAGCCTCCCCCAGCCTCCCTCAGCCCAGCCTCCCCAGCCTCCCTCAGCCCAGCCTCCCCCAGCCTCAGCCCAGCCTCCCCCAGCCTCAGCCCAGCCCAGCCTCCCCCAGCCTCCCCCAGCCTCAGCCCAGCCTCCCCCAGCCTCAGCCCAGCCTCCCTCAGCCTCAGCCCAGCCCAGCCTCCCCCAGCCTCAGCCTCCCCCAGCCTCCCTCAGCCTCAGCCCAGCCCAGCCTCAGCCCAGCCCAGCCTCCCCCAGCCTCAGCCCAGCCTCCCCCAGCCTCAGCCCAGCCTCCCTCAGCCTCAGCCCAGCCTCCCTCAGCCTCAGCCCAGCCTCCCCCAGCCTCAGCCCAGCCTCCCCCCAGCCTCAGCCCAGCCAGCCTCCCCCAGCCTCAGCCCAGCCTCCCCCAGCCTCAGCCCAGCCTCCCCCAGCCTCAGCCCAGCCCAGCCTCCCCCAGCCTCAGCCCAGCCTCCCCAGCCTCAGCCCAGCCTCCCCCAGCCTCAGCCCAGCCTCCCCCAGCCTCAGCCCAGCCTCCCCCCTCAGCCCAGCCTCCCCCAGCCTCAGCCCAGCCTCCCCCAGCCCAGCCTCCCCCAGCCTCAGCTCAGCCTAGCCTCCCCCAGCCTCAGCCCCCCTCAGCCCAGCCTCCCTCAGCCCAGCCTCCCCCAGCCTCAGCTCAGCCCAGCCTCCCCCAGCCTCAGCCCAGCCTCCCCCAGCCCAGCCTCCCCCAGCCTCAGCCCAGTCTCCCTCAGCCCAGCCTCCCCCAGCCTCCCTCAGCCCAGCCTCCCCCAGCCTCAGCCCAGCCTCCCCCAGCCTCCCCAGCCTCAGCCCAGCCTCCCTCAGCCTCCCCCAGCCTCCCTCAGCCCAGCCTCCCCCAGCCCAGCCTCCCCCAGCCTCAGCCCAGCCTCCCCAGCCTCCCCCAGCCTCCCCCCAGCCTCAGCCCAGCCTCAGCCCAGCCTCCCTCAGCCTCAGCCCAGCCTCAGCCCAGCCTCCCCCAGCCCAGCCTCCCCCAGCCTCAGCTCAGCCTAGCCTCCCCCAGCCTCAGCCCCCCTCAGCCCAGTCTCCCTCAGCCCAGCCTCCCCCAGCCTCCCTCAGCCTAGCCTCCCCCAGCCTCAGCCCAGCCTCCCCCTAGCCTCCCCCAGCCTCAACCCAGCCTCCCCCAGCCTCAGCCCAGCCTCCCCAGCCTCAGCCCAGCCTCCCCCAGCCTCAGCCCAGCCTCCCCAGCCTCCCCCAGCCTCAGCCCAGCCTCCCCAGCCTCAGCCCAGCCCAGCCTCCCCCAGCCTCAGCCCAGCCTCCCCCAGCCTCCCCCAGCCCAGCCTCAGCCCAGCCTCCCCCAGCCTCAGCCCAGCCTCAGCCCAGCCTCCCAGCCTCAGCCCAGCCTCCCCCAGCCTCCCCAGCCTCAGCCTCAGCCCAGCCTCCCCCAGCCTCAGCCCAGCCTCAGCCCAGCCTCCCCCAGCCTCAGCCCAGCCTCAGCCCAGCCTCCCCCAGCCTCCCCAGCCTCAGCCCAGCCTCAGCCCAGCCTCCCCAGCCTCAGCCCAGCCTCCCCCAGCCTCCCCAGCCTCAGCCCAGCCTCCCCCAGCCTCCCCAGCCTCAGCCCAGCCTCAACCCAGCCTCAGCCCAGCCTCCCCAGCCTCAGCCCAGCCTCAGCCTCCCCCAGCCTCCCCCAGCCTCAGCCCAGCCCCCCCAGCCTCCCCCAGCCTCCCCCAGCCTCAGCCCAGCCTCCCCCAGCCTCCCCAGCCTCAGCCCAGCCTCAACCCAGCCTCAGCCCAGCCTCCCCCAGCCTCAGCCCAGCCTCCCCCAGCCTCAGCCCAGCCTCCCCCAGCCTCAGCCCAGTCTCCCCCAGCCTCAGCCCAGTCTCCCCAGCCTCAGCCCAGCCTCCCCCAGCCTCAGCCTCAGCCTCAGCCCAGCCTCCCCCAGCCTCAGCCTCAGCCCAGCCTCCCCCAGCCTCAGCCTCAGCCCAGCCTCCCCCAGCCTCAGCCCAGCCTCAGGGGAAAGGCTGCAAAAGGACCACAGCAGCCTCGGCCACTGCTCTCCCCCCGAGCACAGTGTTATTTGGAGTGGTTTACAGCCATCACTGATAGGAATAAGATCAGTCCCCGCTGTGCCGTCCCCGGCGACTGTAATTGTCCTAACTTTTAATATGAGGCAATGGGTGATGCTGCTCAGTGTCAGTGATGGGAGTTTGCGTTGGGGACTGAGCTGAGGAGCTTATGTGTGTGTGTGTGTGTCTCTCTCTGTGTGTGTATCTGTCTGTGTGTGTGTGTGTCTGTCTGTGTGTTTGTGTATCTGTCTGTGTGTGTATCTGTCTGTGTGTGTGTGTATCTGTGTGTATCTGTGTGTGTATCTGTCTGTGTGTGTATCTGTGTGTGTGTGTGTATCTGTGTGTGTGTCTGTCTGTGTGTGTGTATCTGTCTCTGTGTGTGTATCTGTCTGTGTGTGTGTGTGTGTATCTGTGTATCTGTGTGTGTGTGTGTGTGTGTGTGTATCTGTCTGTGTGTGTGTGTCTGTCTGTGTGTGTGTATCTGTCTGTGTGTGTGTGTATCTGTGTGTGTGTGTGTGTATGTGTGAGTGTGTGTGTGAGGTGCTGGCGGGGTGCGGTGTTTCATTCAGGAGTAGGATGTCTGTCTGTCTGTCTGTCTGTCTGCCTCCCAGGTACATCGGTTTCTCTCTCTCTCTCTCTCTCTCTCTCTCAGTGAGGGGGTGCACACCGCTTAGCTTTCATTGTAAATTGCATTTAATGACATTTCCCGAAAGGAACTGTTGTTAGGATAGGATAGGATTGTGCAAAGAGTAAACCTGAGCTGGAGATGCGCTCTCTCTACACACACACACACACACACACACAGGAGGGAGGGAGGGAGGGAAGAAGGGTGTATTAGATTGGAGAAAAACCGTGCAGAAAGTGAGTGAATCTTTGGGATTAAATCAGTTGGGGAGGGGGACAAGGACATGTGTCGGATGCAAGAAAATCAAGGTCACGTTCATCCTGTTTGAAATGATAGCTTTAGTTGGTTTTAAGAGAGCGATTGCTCAGATTTCATGGTAAATCGCATTTAATGACATTTCCCGAAAGGAACTGTTGTTGTGATACTGTGTGGGATACTTTGTATTTGTACAAAGAGGAAACCTGGGCTGGAGTTTCTCTCTCTTTCTCTCTCTATATATATATATGTATAAACACACACACACACTGACACACTCACACTCACACAAATCGCTTTCAAATGCAAGAGAAAACTATGCAGAAAGTGATTGAGTCGTTGGGATTAAAACACAGAGGGATGGGGGTCTGGGGGTGCAAGGAAACGTTTGGGTGCAAAGATTTCACCCTGTTTGAAATGATACAGCGTCAGTTGCTTTCCAAAGAGAAGCGCTCGGATGTCCCAGACTTGACGTTCCACATCGATCAGACGATGTTCTTGTACAAAGGCATTGAAAAGAGAAAAAACAATAAGCTTTGCATTGATGTAAGAAGTTTTACTCGAAGTACACTTTAATACTCACTCTGCCCTTCTGAATCTCAAACTAACCAGTTCAGCAATTAAGCATCTTGCAATCTTAAAAATATAAGCAAATCCAAGTGATACGTTTGCTGCTACCTTTTATTTTTAAAAAAACAAACACCCCCAGTGGTTTATTGTGACTTAGTTATTACATTTCAAGGACTGTGTTTATGAATAATATTTCTTTTGCTTTTTTAAAAGCCATTTGTCATTCTGCACCCTTTTAAATCATGTGACTGCATATGAAACATGTCTTTTTTTTTAGACCTCAAATGAAAAAAAAGACTTTATATCTGATCATTTTATACATAAACATTATCTATACAACCTCTCTTTTTGGAATGTGTGTGTCAGATGGAGAGATGGGAAGACATAAATACAAGACATAATTTAATTTTGTATCTAACTGACCTTCTAGGCTTTTGTTACGCTGTAGTTTATAGTTTTATTTTTACTGTAATTTGCTGCAGAAATGCTATTGATAATAATTGATAATAATAAGAATTTGGTTACTTAATTCACAACTGTTTGTGGGACACTGCTGGGTACAATTGCCTGTCCCATTTCGCCCCAAAAATACACAGTCAATTCACTTTACCGTTTAATCTGTGAAAAGCTTTAAGACGTCTCAACGACGTGATTGATAAAGCCCTATATCAAATGCAAGGATTATTATTAATATTATAAGCTCTTTCTTTGTGGTTTAGTTTTTGATATGTGTGCATATGCAGATATACATTTCACTTATTCCATATCAGTGAAATATTCAATGTTTTTTTCAAAGCAATACTAAATTGATAGAAATCTTATTGCGCTTCCAAAATACATCATAGTTCTTTAGCTTGTTAAAGCCACAAACTATTGACAATCAGTTGAATAGACAATCTTTGCGTTTTGCAGAGTTGAGGCAATATTTCTTATCTTACAGAAAATACATATGCTATGTGTGTCTCCTCTCTCTCTCTCTCTGTATAGTGGTGTCATGTGATTTTTTTCAATCCTATTTGGTGAAGCTGCTTGACTTTTTGCTTTTGCCTCTGTTTGGTGATGATTTTCACTGTAAGCGTTGATTGACAGATGCATGCCAGAAACCCCCATTCTCCTCTTCGCAAGATATGTATGATGGATAGCGATCTCTTGGCCCAGCAGGATACAGGAACCATGCATGCTATAATTGGTCAGGTATGGAGTCAGCCATTTCTCAACTCCTCTATTTTACCATGAGACTATAATAGCATGATTCATGTAATTCATATTTGCAGCACCTTTTTTTCTACTATCTTATCCGCAGTTTTGCGTAGCTATTTTAGAGGGAATTTCAGCGTAACATTTCTGGCTAACTGGAAATTAATGCCGAAAACTATCTGCAGTTTCTTTTTCTCTCTTTTGTGTTTATAGCTTATTATGACTACTGTAAAACTGTTTTTTGTACCTGAATTTGTCTGCATGTAGCACACCAATAGGGGGTGTGAAGACTCATGATTGTTGTACATTGGTTGGAGATTTGCAGTGTTGTACTACTGGGTCCGTCGTGTGACTCTGTATTATGTCATTGTAGTTTTTTTTTAGCTTAAATCCAAATGATGTGTGAACTGAGTAAATATAGTAATTCCTTTTGTTGGAGGGAAGCAGCCAGTAAATTAAAAACTGCCCACAATCAAAGAGGTCTAGGTGATCTGCTGCTATTTCTAATGTAATACGGCAGGGCAGCTTTAATAAACAGCTCTATTTACTCCCTCAAGCCACCAAGATAAACTGGCCTATGGCTGCTGTGATGAAATGCCAGAAGAATATCTCTCAAAGGCCTCACATGCTGGGCTTTAGAGCCATTTCGTCTTTGTCTACTGGATACCAGATGGTTCAGCAATGCTTCTTGTGTTGTTTGTATTCTGAATAGTCCCAGTAAATGTATCCTTTGCTTTAGAGCACAATCATCTAGAAAGATATCCCTGTCTTGTAATCTTGTTTATCTGCAAATAATCACAGGAATTGGTGGAATTATTGCAATTTCTGGATAAGGACAGTCAGTTAAGATCAGGCTGTGTTTAAAGTGATCATTTTCCTGACAGTAAATTCATGGTGAAAGGACATGTATTATAATAGCATAGATGTATATAATTTTAGATATTAATACTACCGGCAAAATACATGGACAGAAATGTGAGCTTTTTTTCTTAATCAGTACGATTTTGTAAGAAAGATGTTACTTACAGTCGTTTTTAGATTGGTTCGAAAATGGTTGGAAGAGATCCATATGTGATTAAAATGTAATCCAATATATTCACATTCACACTAATATTTTAATACTTTTAATAAATGAAATACTAGCATTCTTCGTCAACATTTTATTCTTTGAAATATTGTGTGAGAGAGGTTTTCTTTGCTTTCAAGGATCAACCTAGATTAGCTTTGATGTATATGCTGTTCAGTTGAAATATCTATTACACATACAGTAATATTGTTACACTTTGTCAGACTTGCACTTTTTATGTTCATTGTTCATTTATAGTTATTATTGCAAAGTACATTACTTGACTTGTCTTTTATATTGGTGTTAATTCTAATAATTTATTTTAACAGTGTAAATGTGTGAATAATTTAGACATCTTCGGGCAATTTGGCTGGGTTTAACACAAATTGTGGGAATCCACAAATTATAATCTAGTTCATTTGAAACCTTGAGCAATGGTGTGCTTTAGTTACTGCACTTATTTTCTACAATAGGAAAATTAAGCTTTCATTAAATCTCTTTTACCGTGCCTATGAATAAAATAGCATATTTATCAATTTAGTAATGATTTGAGTTTCATTCTTTCAATAAATAAGTGCTACTTTGTTTTCTTTCCTCAAGATATTCAGCATTTGATTGTAAACCAAAGTGCCTTTCAAAAATTGTGCAAACATAATAAAAGGAATTGTCAATGGCTGCAACTGCAAAATGCTTTCTAGTCCACTTTCTTATTTGAATACATTTGTCTGTAAGGTGGACACCATACAACAAACTACTTTTCAAGCCTGCAAGGTCAGAGAATAATTGTAAACCCATAAAGAGAGTGTACAGGAACAACATCCTGTTTCTGAATTCAACAGTGACAAAAAGTGACAACAGCCATATAATAATCATATTGTATAAAGAATACATCTTTGATTTCTAAAAAATTAAATATCAGAGCATTGAATCTGTACAATGTTGCATGCTGTTCCAGCCTCAAAACAATGGGTATTCAATACCAGAATAATCATCTTTCTAAAAGTCATTATTGATAAAGCAAATTCCATGGGACTTTATGTTGATATATCAAAATGTCAAATTTTAAAAGGAGCAAAAATGGTTACTATGTCTGGACACTGCGCACTGTAGTTTCTTTCAAGAACAGTGTTCACTTCAGCAATATTTGACCCTTCAGCTTTCATTTTTGAATCCTTATTCTTTTCATTATTGTTCAGAAGATTTCACAACACAGAACAATTCGCTCTAAAGAGTATGTCTGGACACATCAAAAAGCAAGGCTATTGCTTAGCTAAAATGGTGCAAACCCTGTCATTGGAAGAGTAACTGACTGCAGCAACCTGCGTCATTGTAGTGTTAATCTTTTAGCACACAGTCTGAAACATTGCTTGCAAATAATGGGGGTGGGGGGGGGGGGGTTGGTGCAGGGATAGATGACGAATATTGAAAAATTACTGCATTATTTGGCTTATATTCCTATAATTTTAGACCATCTGAAAAATTGCCACCTGGCCATAAGTAATGTTGAACTTCTGCAGCTAAATTAAAGTGTTGCCGTTGTTTCCTTTATAACAACCATGAAAGAAGAAGCAATGTTTGGTTCTGCACGTCTCTATAACACTGCTTTTGCATTATTTCATGTTCACATCAGAGTCAGAGATAACTTCAAAATAGTTCAGAAAGTTGAGCATGTGTGCCTAGGCATGTGTGTATATATCCATATTTGATTTTAAAATTGATCCATTTGTGCAAAATACTTGGCTATGTTGTACATATATATATATATATATGTATGTTGTGGATTTTCAGTGTGATTCCAGCTATCATATTCTTGAAGTAAAGCACTGCATAAATGAAAAGCCATTGGTTTTCACAGAGGATTATAATATTCTTCTGTTGTGGTTTTATTCAGACTCAATCTACAGGAAACAAAGCTTTATGAAGAAGCTATCAATGAGTTCAGAATCCTATTATTTTCTCAAGTGAAAAAGATGAAAAGACAACTTTAGCTTCCCTTCAGTTTTATTTAGTTTAAAAATCAGTTATTGTCCTTTGATGAATTATATTATGAATTTAACTAAGGTTGCTTTATTTGCGTAGAAATTGCATGGACCAGATTAAATAATTTGAGAATTGAAATTAATTGATAGCTGTTTATGTTATAGTAGAACTGATGTCATAAGTTATTAAAAAATCAGCGAGTAAAATCTGCGTACAGAAATAAATCATTTACAGTGCTGTTGAATCTGTCGAGGAGATGGATCATTGGAAAGAATTAAAATTTGTTGTGCTCACAATAAGTGGCAGTTTTCCTCTTAGTCTTTTACTGTTCAACCTACTTTGCACTATTATCTTAATCTGAGTTTAGACCTCATCTTCTGAATGACAGGTAAGTTCATCAGCATTACTAGCCTCCTGTTTATGTCTTAGCGCAGGTAGACAGGTCACAATATCCAGTCACCCTTCTCACACTGCCTTCCCCAGGGAACAAGCCCAGCCATGCCATCATGATCCCAGGGCCCGAGGGCCTGGCTGGCTGTGCATTTGTATGTTTGCCGGGTATAAAAAACATAATATGGCTCCGCTTGTTAAATGAGGTACCCAGAGAACAAAACTGCTGTGACACATGGACCAGGGAAACATGTCTGGGGGCTGGGGATGAAAAAGATCATTCTCAACTTTTATGCATTATTTTGTTGATTCAAGATACTGGATAAATGTAATTTGCAACTGAATTTTTATTAACCCTTTGAGAACTGTATTGGCGTAACTAAAGGATTGTGTGCTTGTGTGTGTTTGGGAGAGGAAATGAAAGCTGTAGTGGAGGATTTTAGGTTATTTCTGGAATCTTACGATTTTTGGTTTTGAAATTGCTTTCAGAATCGCGTTTCAAATGAAATTCAAACATTTCTTTTTAACACAATTTAAAAAATAATATCATAACAATTCCTATTCTACAAAGAAACAAATGTTCATATTTTGCACAAAGAAAGGGTGTGCTGTGTGGAATTTGTGTGTGGTGGAGTTTGGTGGAAATCCAACAAATGGTGAATCCTTATAAATAATATGCTGTTTATGAGGTGTGTCCACTTATCTTTTAAATGTATACTTTCGTTTTTTAAATTTTTTAAATTTTGTCAAATGAGAGCACAGTAAATATTGATATAATAAACCCTGTGAATCAATGTAAGATCATGAATTAAGTTCTTTTTTTAACTAAATCCATTTACTGAATAAGTACAATTAATCAATAAAAGCTAAAAAAAAGTTCCTTCTGCCTGGTGTGTGAAATGCAAACTACTGAGCAAAAAATATTAGTCTTGCTTACCTAGATGTGTCCTTATTGTATCGAGAGGCTCTCTCTGATTTTTCGTGGAGTGTCTGCAGCCTTTGTGACATTTTCATAGCAAATATCCTGAAGGTACACTGAATTTTTGAAGATTGCTGCCAGTCTCACTGAAAAAAATAGGTGTGTATTTTACTCTTCAGAGGCGGCTGTTGGCAAGAATGTACATCAACGAAGCACTATTTGTTCCTCAAAATACACTTTTCAGTCCGATTCACCACTAATTTAATGCCTCTTGCAATTACAAATATGCTCTCTGCTAACGGTCCCGATCTTTTCTTTGCAAAAATATTCTATGGCAATCTTTGCTTATAAGGTACCAGTAACATATCACATCATGTATAAACTGATTTGTGCCCTGGGATTATAAGTCTGTAAATGGAGGTGTAATAAAAATCTGGTTTTGCAGACTATAAAATATAATAGTTTCCACTCAAATTTCATAATTTTATCAAACTGACAAGTGGTTTAAAAAATATGCTGCTGTGTTTTAAAATCTGCTCGCCTCTGCCTTAAAGTGGATTTCAGATTGAGTTTAATTTGTGATTATTGTGCAAATGTATTGTGCCCCCTCCTACCAGTTAAACATGTGTGAATTTGTCCCTC